AAACTATATATATATATATATATATATATATATATATATATATATATATATATATATATATATATATATATATACCATGCCAACATTCGCAACCTATGTCAACATGAGAAATTAGTGATTATGACTTTTCCAGATCCCCAAAACATTTTAAACCACAAACTGAATTAAATTCTTTCATATATATATATATATATATATATATATATATATATATATATATATATATATATATATATATAAACAATTATTATGTGAAGATGAGGCCGGATAAAAAATTGAATTAAAACTGTACTGTTATATATGCAATACGTTTGCTTTCCCTCGCACAATTGCTTGCATTTACCTTACACTTGCTTTTTATTTTCTACTTCTTTTCTGTATAGAGTTAAGATACTCTTTCTTCTCTCTTCTTTTGTCTTTACCTTCTTTTCTTCTTTCCCTTCTTTTCCCTTTCTATACATCCTCTTTCTATTACCCTCAATGTTATGTGTTTGGCTGTAGTGCGTTTTGTATTTATTTTGAAAAATGTTAATTTACTGTCCTTTTGTGTATATATATATATATATATATATATATATATATATATATATATATATATATATATATATATATATATATATATATAAAGAGTTGGATGGCTAGTTGATAGAAATCTCCTGATGAGAACGTGATGTCGAAAACAAGGTCATATATTGAACTGACCTCCTACTTTTTAAAATTAAAAAGCTCTACATGTTATTTTTACCTTTATTTTATTTTCGCACAAGTATTGAACACTTTTATTGTACTTTTTTCTTGGTTTTGATTCTAACTGTAATCATTAACATACATATATATATACATATACTGTTATGTAGCGATGGAATCATATTTTTAAATAAATATATTATATATATATATATATATATATATATATATATATATATATATATATATATATATATATATATATATATATATTATCAATAATTTTAACTGCTTGCTGATATCTACATATTGATACATACCTACCAAACGCCATTTTAGTACACATTCAAATGTCAAATTAAAAAGCTATATCTTCTCACCATCGTTGCTGAGGTTAATGACCATAATGAAATACACGAATGCTATGCTCTCTAATGTGTCCTATTTCTCAATGTATACGTGCATGCCGCCAGAGTCCGCCATATCCATTATCTAATGTCATATATCTGTCATCGCCTTTATTTTCTGTCTGTCTACTGCCATTGATGCGTCTTTCCTGAATCTAGGTACCGTGTTTCACAGCCCTAATGGTTTTACATGCTCTAAATGAAACAATCAGCTCTTCATTTTTTTTTTTTTTTGATTTTCTCACTGGAATTATTCCAAATGTTTCTTTTAATCATTATATTAGAAAACTTAACATTATAATGTTAGAAACCTGCTATGTATATACAACATTTGTTTTCAATTTTATAAGAGAAAATATTGATATTTCAGCCCTGATATCATTGAAAGTGTAGTAATTTGGGATATTGTTAATGTCAAAGCATTGTATGGTGATATGGAAAAATGTCTATTGTAAAAATGGATATCACATATAGATGATGAGCAACTGATATTTCTTTCTAATTTGGGGAAATATATAAGTATAATAGAAACAACGCAAAGAAAAAGAGATGAATATTTTGCAAGGGAAATAGGTTCAGCTATTGAACATAAATGCAATTGTTTAATTGACGTTTTTACATATTTGCTAAGCAGTGAAAATAATTGTGTTATGCTTGGTTATTTTACCACATAGTATTTAGTAATTGAATTTGGAAAATAAAGTCATGGTTGAGGCGGTGCATATAATAACTTATAATAATGCAAAATGTTATTGAAAATTTCCTATTAAATAAACTGAATTACATCTTCAGTTGAATATTGATGTTAAAGAATAATAGTTTCAGCCATGTCATAATTGATCTAAATGTGAATATTTGATGGACGAAATAGCATGCCAAACATCACAATGTAACTGGGATCTCTAAATAATTTTAAACCTCACTTTTATATATAGGAGTTTATGTTACAAGAGAAGATAGCCCAACAGAAGAAGGAATATTTAATAATATTTGTCTTATTTTCAAGGATATGAAAATATTTCTAATGAAATCTATTTTAGCGATTAAAACTTCCAATGTATACCGCAGTTCGGTGGATACTTTTCTGTTTTATAATCTTACATTAAACATTGTCAATTATTAATATTTCTTTATCATGTTAAAATGTTAATTGCGACTGTCAATGATTCTGGTAAGAAATAAAGGTACAATTACTTCAGATATTGTGTGGCTTACGGCTACATCACGATCACCGAAGTTAAGCAATGTCGAGCCTAGTCAGTACTTAGATGGATGACCGTTTGGAAATATCAGTAGGTGTAATCATGATTGTGCGAGGGTGTAATGTATAATTGCTCGGAATCGCTAATAGGAGAGTCAAGATCTATTTCCCGCTGGGTTGGTTCCACAGTAATAGAACAATTAGT